TAGCTATTTTTTGAGCTAAAAATAAAAAATATTTGTTAGTAAAATTAAAAACTTTTATATGTAAGGAAAAATATGTAATTTACTAATTATAATTAGTAAAAAATTTAAGCGTTGCATTATTTTTGATTGCCACTGTATTTATATTTTTGAATTTAATATTTAACTTTTTATAATTACTAATTTGATTTTGTTAAAATTTAAAATATAAATTTATTATATATTTAATCATATACAGTATTTATATAATATAAACTTATAAAATTACAAATATATAAAATATTTAAAAATCATTTTTAATTTTTAAAATCATAAATCAAAATTATTTTATTTATTATTAAATTAAAAATATAATAAACTACTAAAATAATATTAAAAGTTATATTATATAAATAATTAAAAATATGATTTTTACTTTAATATATAATCAATTTTTTTTTACAAGTATATAATTATAATAGAAATTTATAGTAAATATAATAATCAAGAGAAATATGTTATAGAAAAATTTGACTAATATATGTTAATATTAGAAATTTCAATATAAGCATGAAATCTATAAATCAAATTTGGCTTTCTAAATAGATCTAATAACTTATAAGTACATGTAATATCAAAAAAATCGATTTTACTCATTTGTGATCGGTCTCGTGCATAATCAAGCCTCATTGTTGTTTTTTGGACCTTTTTTAAGTTTTAGTATGTACGTAGTCTGATATCACTAAATGCGATTTCCGGGAAATAGTAAAATCTTGCTTGTATACAGCCAGCCACAAAAAACTGTTTACATCACACCGCATAATTTTTTGTATACTATTGATATCACTATTATTCTGCTTTTCTCCGAGGAAGATAACGACAACAAAAACTACAACCAAGCGTGTTTTTAAATAAAAAAAATCATCTTGAATATTCTCTTTTCATTTCCACGTGTTATGTCAGGTACCTGTCAGTTTCAGTTCTATCTACTACTACTTTTTTATAGTTCCTGTCTGTTTTATAAACGGTTGTGTGCGCAGCACTATATAAAAAAAATATATATATATTTTCCCCTTAATTATTAATGGCAAAATAATCTAATTGTTTGAGAAGCGATTGATTTTAATTTTTTGTGTTTCAATTTGGTTCCAAGACCAAAACCTTCAGGAAAGGGAAAGGGAAGACGAACTTGACGATAATAATGAGCCAGATAATGACGACCTATCAGCCGCGTTGGCCGAAAATGCATCAGGTAATTTGGAGTGGTTCATCATTCTACTGATTTTGTTTTCGGGTCTTTTGGGTGGTGGTGGTTGTGGTCGTAGAGTAGGGGCAGCCCGTTTCAACACAATATCTTATCGATCTGGCGCAGATACAATAAACCTATATAAATATTGGACGATCTAATGTATACGTCAGAAAATGCAAACAAATTTCCACATACACGCACACACACACACACACATACGCACATACACAGTCTGTATCCATACCGGCCACATACCACAGCTCTTCTTTAAAGTGTTCGATCCTCCCTCTGTCTCCTCTTTGATTTTCGTTATCTTACCAAATACCTAACAAATTATTCAGAAGTACCTAATGACGACATGGAAGATGATGATCTTTTATTGGACGATTCTTATTCACCATTAGAAAAAATTTTCGTGTTTGCCAAAAGTGAATTAGTATTCCATAGGTATATATTTACACATTACATTATAATATATATTCAATTAATGTTTTCTTTTTTATTGTTTATAATTGAATTTTGTTTAAACAAAATTTGTGACTTTTCTTTATGAGAGTGTATATTGCGAAAGAGCTTTCAATGTTGATAAAAGATGTCGAGATAAGTGATGCCGTAGAGTTTCTATTACCTTTAATGAATTCCTTGGGAACTGACCCAGGTATGCGTGGTAGTGATTAAGATTCTTAATTCGAGGTGTATCATCAATTTATACTTCTGCTTGATGGTCTACGACTCTTGAACACGTGTATATATTATCAGTTCAACTAATTATAATAATTGATTTATAATAGATGACGCAGTAAGAGAAGCTTTCGCTCCTGAATTGGATAAAATTATATGGTTCTTTTATTCTGTATGTATCGTGTGAAAGATTATGCATGATACATATCATTGTGTGCATTATAATTCATGAACTAGTCTAAACGCGTGGATATTTGCGTGGGGGGTTGGCACATAGCATTGCCCTATAAGAGAACCTACACCGGAAACGACGACGACGAATGATATTAAAGATTCCATCCCACCAAGACCTCTTACTCCTCAAAGGCCGCCAACACCTCGAGAAAGACCTCAAACCCCACAGAGACCACAAACGCCAAAACCCGAATCTTCAGCACTCCCTTCAAGATCACAAACTCCCACCGCCACTGCTGTTGCTGCCACGCCTAGTCTTCCCTACTTATCTCCACAGTCGTTCACACCGCTTCTTCACGCTCTCCTTCTTGATCAGAATACCGGCATTGCGACTGCGGCACAGAATGTTGTGTTGTCGTTAGTAGGAAAAATTTTGGAGGATACAGAAGTCAACGCTAAGGATAAAGAATATCTAGAGAAGGAGACGCTGGAAGGGGTGGTGTTGGGTATTGGTCGTTTGGATCAAGAAAGAGCGAAACGTGAAGAAACAGGAGAATGGGATCATGATGATGATCAGAGTATTGGCGGGGTAGCTGGTAGTGAAGAGGAAGCAGAATTGGGAAGGATGACAATGATGTCGGTGTGTATCAGCTTTATTAGTTGACTTGCTGTTTATTTTTATTATAATGGATCGATTGAATTGATATATAATTTTAATGTACGTGCAGCTAATTTCTGCATTAGCGTCAATTGTTGGTCCTGAAAGATCAACTCGATTATTTATTCCCGAGCTGGACAAATTAGCTGAAGAGCCAGTGTTCTACGTAAGGAAGGTACAGCATTAAATATTTTAACTTATAAGCTACTTATTCTTTAAGCAAGTAGATATATTATACTCTAATTGATCTATCTATTCTCTTAGGAAGCAGCTATGGCTGTTGGTGGTTTAGTTAATGTAGTGCCACTTGATGTAATTACTACAAAATTGGTGAGAGCTTAAGGATTTGAACATTCATTTCGCGATTGATGAGAATTCGTTTGACATGAATGCCGTCATTGTTCTTTCCAGCTTCCCATATACGACCATTTCTCAACTGACCCAATTTGGCATGTACGACGCTCATGTTGCCTTGTGCTTCCCACAATATGTTCCCGACTACCACCAGAAATGAAATCCGATCGAGCAATTAAGGGCATCGATCTATTTGCCGGCGATGTAAGTCGTAGTGTTCGATCGGCTGCTGGTGAAATCATCGGTGAACTTATTGCGACATTTCAGCCAGGTGGTGAAGTGCCTGAGAAACTAGTGCAACATTTCCTTAGTTTGGGACCAGGAAGGGATACCTCGTTGGGTGGTACAAATATTAATAGTTCTTTGACTTCATATGGATTGAATCAACGTGATCCTGAACGTCCGTATATATGTTCTTATAATTTTCCAGGTGAGTTGATAAGGTTTCTATTGTATTTATAACATCGCGTATTTTAATTGCTATTTTATTCTTTTATTATATATTTATTAGCGGTTGTATTGACATTGGGACCTAGTCGCTGGGATGATTTAAAAGAAACTTATGCCTCTTTAACACGTGATATGCAGGTAACATTTATAACAAATTGGGAATTAAAAAGACGTATATTCAGCCAAAAAAAACAAAGATTCGAAAATAAAAATAATTATAAAAAAAATCTGAAATTAAACTCTTTAAAATTAATGTTTCTGCTATCTTATAAATAGATCAAAGTACGACGATCCCTAGCCTGTTCATTACATGAGATCGCAAAGGTAATAGGTCCAGATAAGACCGAACGTGACCTATTGAGCGTATTTGCATATTATCTTGCCGATATAGACGACGTGAAAGCAGGTTTATTGGAGCATTTGGCGGCATTTATCGAGTGCTTGCCCGAAAAAACTCGTAATGAGTATTTGCCATCGTTGAATGAAGTGTGGGAAGGGGTGAAGAATCATTGGCGGCTACGGGATGTTATTGCAAAGTAACTTGGCTTTTTTAATTTTTTTTATTGGATTGTCGTGTTCAATATCGTTAAATCTGTGATTGTTATAATATTTAGACAACTACCAGATTTATGTCGATTGTTTGACAGTAAAAGTGTAATGGATCATATACTGCCGTTGACAATTAGGGCTGTTAAGGATGTGATTGCTAGTGTTCGAGAAACTGCTGTCAGCTGTGTAAGTTCTTTCACAATATTCCTTTTTTTTAAAAAAACAAAAGATTATTGATATTAACAATTTTTTGTTAATCTTATTGATATTGTGGATATAAAGTTCCCAACATTATTTGACGTAGTAAGACATGACACTGCACCCTACAACGAGCTAATCAATCAAGTAAAGCAATTCTCAACAGATGCTGGATTCCGAGGACGAGTTGTGTAAGCAGCTTATACAGCAAGTTTCTTATAATCACTAATATATATAATATGCTTATTACCCAAAGAAAAATAAATTTCTCACTTTACTATTTTTAAAAACACTATTAATATTATAATAGATATATCCAGATGGTTAATGCATTAATTTCGAAAAATACAATATCGAAAACCGAGTTCGAGACTCATTTTTTGCCAGCACTTGTAAGTCTTGCATCTGATCGTGTATCAAATGTGAGGATTGCCCTTGCTCGATTAGTCGGCGAGATTTGTCGGTTAGGTAAACAATCATCATTTATCATTTCAAAAAAAATTAGGTTTGACAAATCAACGTAATTTGATGAGTTTAAAATCATTAATCATTAAATAAATTTAATTATTAAAAAAGAGCAAGGGTACGTAAATCCATCTACTCGACCCATAGAAGTGAATGAACTAATAAAACTACTAGCACGAGATTCAGATGTGGATGTACGGGCATTCGTATATTCGCTATTACCACCTGAAGAGCAATCATCCCTGCTTTTATCATCATCAACAGCAGCTTCCTCAAGTAAAAATTCAACGGAGAAAACTGAAAACGGCCTACTATCTTACAATATTAAAGAGAAAGGCGATACCTCAATAACTTCAAACATAAATTTGATGAGTGATGATATGGCGATTGATGAACCCAACGATCGGGAAAATGGACTTGGTGATGATGATGATTCTTCAAATGTAATGATGGGTGATATTCCGATTGGATTTGCCGGGATTGCTGATGATTCCATGGAAATTGATGATGATGAAGCTGAAGATAAAATGACTATGGATGAATCGCCTATGCCATCTTCGCCTTTATCATCGTCATCGAATCCGCCTTCAAAAGTAAATAATAACAATAACAATAATAGTAGTAATATCGAGACTAATGATTCTTCAGGTGTCGTCGATATGATACCGATTTATCTTCACAAACAATCGTATGATGTCGATTCGATACCGATTATGATTAGTGACTCATTAAAAGCTATGCAGGATAAACAAGAGACACAGGAACAAGAAGCTATTAACGAACCCAATGTTGGTATGTTACAGGAAGCAAAAAATATTCCTCTTAAAGATGATGATGACGGTGGTGGTGAACAAAATTCTATGAAATTTGACACGGAAAACATTAATCATGGACAATTATCTTCTGACGTAGTTAGTACTAATACTTCGTCGCCAAGTAAAATAGAAATAAATAGTGATTTAATGGCAACGACGACAACGAGTACAACGAGTTTGCGTTCAGATTCTTTTTTAGCAAACACTTCTTTGCGAGAGGAAGAAAGTACTGTTAAAAAAACAGAAGTTGACCCAGCATTGTCAACGTTATCAACATCAACAATAACAACAACAGCAGCAGCAGCATCAGCATCATCTACATCGAATTCGATAGAAACAAAAAGCAGCGCGGAAAAAATTGTGAATGGTGAATTTACTTCATTAAATAATAAGGAGGATGATAATCATAAGAGTGACGATAAAAATGGTGATAATAAGAATGATGACGAGACTAACAATGTTGGTAATGTTAACGATAACAGCAATATTAATGAAGAGAGTAAAGTGGCGCACGAAGAGAAGACATTAACTAGAATAGCACCTGTAGTTACAAGTTCTCCCTCGAATCACGTAGGTGTTGTCATAGTATCAGAAACCGAAAACACTTAATAGCAATAAAAAAGGGTGGTTAGGAGTTTCGGCTAAAGCATCTTGAACTATTGTAACAATTATTAGAAATGGTTGCTTTGCTCCGAAGATAATTTACGCAGCAGAAAAGTGAAAAGAGGGAAAGCTCAGGAATCGGTGGTGACGCTTTTTGCATACGTGGTTCAAACAATTAACATCATTAATTAAATGCTGATCGATAATCAGTGTTTGACAACAATACATTTATGATTAATTAATTAAATGACACCTATTATAATAATAGCGGCTGGTTGTCTCTTTTTTATAATCTAATAGTAATCGCAACAGTGCTGGCGTCTATCTTTAATCTCAACAACATTATCGCATTTTATGCTTTTCGCTTTGAAACATTTGCATTATTCCCTCGCATAATGGATTGCATTATTAAACACATTGCTATTGTTATTATTATTATTATTATTATTATTATTATTTTGTATATTTTCATTAAATTCTCATTCATTGATTCATTATATCCCCCTCTTTAAACACCCATTCACTGTATGATAAGTTTTTCATTTTTCATATTTATATATAGGTGGTGTTTATTTTCATATACATATATATATATATATATATAGATTTATTATCAATAACGAAAAATAATAATAATAATAATAATTTTGATTTTATGTTATACCTTTTGTTTGCTTGATCATAAAAAAGATATCTAATTTGAGCAGAGCTCAAAGTTATGCACTGAAACGTGGTTATACATGTGTATGCTCATTCAATATCGATATTATCATCATGAATGTTGGTAAAGTGGTTCTTAATGTGAGAACAGGAACAGATTTCTGCAAACCTAATGTATGTTAATAGAACAACCAATAAAAAAACGAATCATCCGTCATTTTTATCTTGAACAGGATTTTTCTGACAAGTCATAATCATCATCATCATCATTAAACTATGCAATTAAATGGTAAAATATTTGTAATTACTGGAGGCGCAAATGGGTTTGGCGCTGCGTTATCAAGGCGAGCTGTACGTGAAGGGTAAGTAAGAACAAGATAAATTCAGAGTCTAATGAATAAATGATTAATAATTTAATCTTCATATACACATATAATTTAAAATAATGAATAGAGCTAAGGTTGTATTAGGTGATATCGATCAAAAAGGTGGCGAGGCTATTGAAGCAGAGTTGAATAAAGAGTATTTGTTTCTTTTTCTATTTTAATTGATTCACCCTGTTCATGATTCAATGCTAATTTTATATATTGATTTATGATTTTTTTAATCATTTAATTATATTATTGTGTGCTGCATCTTCATAGTAACGCGAAGAATGCTAAGTTCGTGATATGCGATGTTCAAAAACGTGCGGATTTGGCCAAATTGTTTGAGACTGCTGAGAAAGAGTTTGGTGGTGTTGATGTATGATTATATCTATTATTTTTATCTTTTATCATTTACAGCACTGATTAATAATTATTCTTTTTGTTGTTGCATAGATTTTGATCAATAACGCGGGAATTATTCGAATGCCAGAATTCCATGATGGAAATGGTAATTAGCGGATTAGCATATTCAAATTAGCATGTAACACTGACTTTTTATTTATTTTAAGAAAAATGGAAACAAGTGATCAGCGTTAACTTAAATGCGGTAATTGAAGGAACACAATTGTCGCTACCGTACTTTAAGAAACGCGGTGGGGGAGTTGTCGTTAATGTTGGTTGGTATATTATCCAATTTTTTGTTTGCTTTTTGATTTGAGTACTTGGACGCATCTTATTGATTATACATAAAACAATTTTTGCTTTTATGTCGATGTACAAAGCTTCAATGGCAGGAGTCCAGCCTTACTACGTGGGATTGTTCCCGGTTTACGGAGCTTCAAAAGCAGGGGTACTTAACCACTATTTTATGTTGGTGAAAATAATTTTTATTATTGATTATTTGCATTATTACAGGTGATTGCGTTTACTCAATCTCTTCATGTACTAAAAGAATCAAATATTCGTGTGAATGCAGTTGCACCTATATATTCCGGTAACCATCTATATTTATTATATTTTATTATCTATTTTTTCAAGAACTCTAACACGACTTTGTATTTAATTTATTATAATAATAAAGAAACAAATTTGCTTCGCGAATTGTGCAACGGTTCCAGCAATCTCAAGAAATTTGTAGACCGAGTCGGCACCGTAAGAGTTGAGGAAGTAATCAATGGCATTATGCACTGTATCGAGAATGAGCGTTTGATAGGTGAGGTTGTAGCTATTCTTCCTTCTCGTTTTTTTGTAGTTCCGCAGTTGAAAGGAAAGCTTTAATGGTATATATTTGAGAGAAATAAAAATTTGGATATTTTGTTTAACAATTATAAAAATTCGACAAGACAATCTTAATTTTATAATTCGTAATAGTTTAAATATATAGAATGATAAATTCAAATTTATTCAATACAATCTTTGAGCTTCCAATTCAAATAATGAACCTAATATTGAATTTGATTAAATGGGATGCATGACCAATTATGTCTGGCTTGGTTCAACAAAGTAATATGATAGGGAATAATCCCAAGCATTTATTAGAGAAAGCTTAAACCAAATGATCAAGAAGAATATCAGTATTATTTAACTCGACGGACATTAGAACTATTTCTTTCTTGTACTTTTCCTCTTTCAACAATGAATCTGATAATGGATCCAGCAGTGAATCTGATAATGAACCTATTATTTTTTGGATACTTATCGAAAAAATAATCCTTTAGAGTGGTAAAGTGTGAAAAACTGAAATTTCGTATATTGGCAAAACTTGTTCTCATAAAGAAATCAGCTGATTACTACTAAATCGGGACGAATCAACATATTTGGAATATCAAGATAATGCAGATCAATATATATATGTACATGCGTGATAGATCCCCTTTATTAAAAAAAACTTTAAACTGATCGATTTTAAAATTTCCTGTTTTAATAGATCCTGTTTTAATTGAATTTTTGTTCAATTAAGATACCGAAATTACGATAAACACAACGTTAAGAAATGGTAAATTTAAGCGAAAAAGTTTTAATTATTACTGGTGGCGCAAGTGGATTTGGTAAAGCATTAGCTCATCATGTCGTTGAAAAAGGGTAAATATCTATGTGGTTTAGAGCGTTCGTTAGTTTAATTATAAGTTTGTTATTTAATTTTCTATTATGATGATAGAGCAAAAGTTGTTTTGGCAGATATTAATAAAGAACTTGGTCTACAAGTCGAGGCAGAGTTAAATACAAGGTGAATTTGAATTTTTAGTTAAAATAAAAATTCACAAATATAAATATAAATCTATACATACAGCAAACCAAATTATGCTAAATTCGTTTGCACGGATGTGTCGAAACGTCAAGATCTCGAGAATCTTCTCAAAGTTGCTGAGACGGAATTTGGTGGTTTTGATGTAAACTTTTTTTCTGATGTGTTAAACCAATATCCTTCAAACATAGACTATTCGATTTATATATACACACATAGGCAATATTCAATAATGCAGGAATCGCTCAACGTGAATTCTTTGATCAGACTGGTATATTGTTTATTGCTCTATCCTGTCAGTTATTTTATAATATTTAGCAAAGAAATGAATTCAATTTTAAATAGAAAGTTGGAAACGAACAATAGACATTAACATTAACGCGGTTATCGAAGGAACGCAATTGTCTATTCCTTTTTTAAAGAAACGAGGTGGTGGCGCAGTCATTAATACTGCTTCTGTCGCCGGGTTGTATCCTTTAATCGTGCCAAGGGTGCCAGTGTATACTGCTGCCAAAGCTGCGGTATGATTATAATAGATATTATTTTTTTTCATACGAGAATTGTTGAGTTCAAATATAAGTAATTTTATTAGGTTGTCGCGTTTAGTCAAGCATTAGAACACTTAAAAGATGAAGAAAATATTCGTGTTAATGCTGTTTGTCCATTCTTTGCTGGTAAAGTTTTTTATTTATATTAATACAAAAACATAAAAAACTAATTTATTAATGTATTATTCACCCAAGAAACTCCAATGGTAACGACGGCTTACCAAGAATCAAAAGATTTTGAAGCATATGTCAAGAAAATCGGCACTGTCTCTATTCAAGACGTCGTGAATGGACTATTGCATGCCTTTGAAAACGACGCGCTTTATGGTGATGTGATTGAAATATTGCCAAAGAATAAACTTTACGTCCGTCCTAAAGTTTCGTATTAGACTTCGGTAGTTAAATACTAAATACGTCTAAATCATAGTAGCAATCAAGCGCATTATTTTGTAGAAATTTGATAAATTAATGTGCTCTTACTTTTAATTCACCTATAAAAGATGAATGTTCGTTACGGTTAATGGTAATTTAAAACTCGAATGAAGAATTATATACAAAAATGTCATTGCGAAAGACTATGGAATATACTTATTTTAATATTCGCGAAAAATGGCAAATATAATACAATAATGAATTCACAAATACAGACATAATTTTACAAGATATTTTAATAATTAATAAAATTAATATCTATATTAGATTCATTCAAACATACAAAATACATGCATAGCTTATAAAGAATTACAATTAGAATAACAAATTTGGCTGAAAATAAAGAATTAAATTATTTAATACTAAATAGTTTTATTTAACGTTAATACTTTACAAATATAGTGTTCTACATTTTATTTAAAACTTATTTATATATGAAACAGAAAACTTATTATTTTCTATTACATTTATATTTTTTTATAATAATAGATTTTATTAATTTTTATTATATAATTAATCTCAATAAAACAAACACTCAATCATTTCAAAAATTTAAAACATCAAAATAAAATTAATTTTTAAATTATATATAAATATATATTTTTTTAACTTTGATTTAAATAATTAGTCCTAATTAAAGAATATTAAAAAATATAACATTCTTGATAAAATTTTTGTTAAAAATTCAAATAAATAATTATATATAATTATATTTAGTAAAAATTTTAAGTCTTTTCATTCTTTTTATTATTAATTATATATATATTTTATAAATAAATTTTAATATTATATAATTATATACTTTAAAAAGTTGAGAAATATAATTAATATAATAATTAATTATAGTTATTATTTAAATTATAAATTTATTTAGAATTATAAGAATAATTATAATTAATATAATACTTGAATTAATTATTATTATATATAATATATATATTTTATTAAAAATTAAAAATTTTATATTAATATAAGATCTAAATATTTTAATTAAGTTAAAATAAAGTTTATAATTCTTGTTAAAGAAAATATATTAATTTTTAATTAAAGAACTTTATAATCAAATAATTTTTAAAAAATATATTAAACTAAAAAATTATAAGCTTTATTTTTAATATAAAAATAAATTATAAGTTTTAAAATAAAAAATTTTAATTTTTGTTATGATCTGATATAAAAAGATTTATATTTTAGATAAATATTTTATTTTTTAAAATAAAATTTTAATTCTGTCTCATTTAATTAAGTTATTAAAATATTAAAATTTATTTAAATATAAAAATTTTATTATATATCTTTTATAAAAAATTTTTATTAACAATAACTTTTTTAAATTATTATTTTTTAAATTTTTTTATATAAAATTTAATTAAAATTAATACAAAAATTATATAGTAAATAATTTAATTATTAAACTTTAAATCTTAATTTCTTTATAATTAATAATTTAATTTTTATAAAATTTAGAATATATATTTATCAAATTTAAAATAATTTGCTTATATAAATTAATAATAATAATATTTAAAATATCTTTTTTCTAAAAAATATTTTATTTTAGTTTTTTTAATAAAGTATTACTTTATTTATTATTAAATTAAAATATAATAAAATAATTAAAATAATATAAAAAGCTAATTTAAATTATTTTTTATTTAATATAAAAAAATTATAAAAATTAATTAAAATTTGAATAATTTTTATTATTAAATTATATATTTTATTAATATTATAAATTTAATTTTTAATTTTTTAATTTTATAAATTATTTTTTTTGAAACAATTTATAATTTTAGTTTAATTTAAAAGTATTAAATAATATTATTTTTTTAATTAAAAAATATATTTTAAATAATTAATTAAATTTATTTAATTTATTTCAAAATATTAAAATATTAAAATATTAAAATATTAAAATATTAAAATATTTAATTTAATAATATTTATAAAATTATTTATAATTTTAATTCAAATTTTTTATTTTAATATTAAATATTATAATATTTTAATAAAAATTTTTAAAATTAAATAAATTTTAAATATAAAATAATAGATAATAATAAATAATAATAAGAAATTAAAGAAAAATATAATAAATAAAATAAAAATAAATTTTTATTAAATATTTAAAAATTAAGATTTTAATTAATATTTTTAATATTCTATTATTTTTTAAATTTAAATATTCTTAAAATTAAAATAATTAAATATAATAATTTATAAAAAATTAAATAATAATATTTCAAATAAAATTTTTATTTTTAATATAAATAATAAATTAATAATAATAATATTTAATTTAATTATTATTAAAATATATTCAAAATGTTTTTAAAAATATTATTTAATATATTCAATAAATATATTATTAAAATTTTATATTTTATAATATATAATATAAATATAAATATTTTTAATATATATATAAAATAAATTTTATTAATTAATTATTTCTTATTCTTATTTTATTTTAAATTATTATTTTATATATAGTTTAATATATATTTTAATTTAAAAAATTTTTATTTATATAATACTAAAATTATATATAATAATTCAAATAAATTTATTTTTATATAGTAAAATAACTATATATATAGATAATTTCTTATATTTAATTTTTATATCAATCCTATTATATATAATTGATAAATGTATTGGTAGTACTTTGGAATACTATAAATCACGTATTGTATTTACTTTTCTATCTGAATGATATCTCCAAAAGTTTTAAATAATCCAAAATGAAAATATAAACTAAACTTTTATACTATTAATAATAGATGAAAAATAAATAATATTAAATATTTATAGATATTTTTTTAAAGCTAGATTTATAGATAGATAAAACAAAAATATATTATTATATAAGTGAATTAATCTGATTTAAAAGTTATGAAGAGTATAATATTACCGTAGTAACATAAATTTCTTTAATTTCATAATTCTTCAAACTTAGAAAATGCGACCAATCAATTGATCTTTGAACAACATGTGATCTCGAATAATATAATTGGTATATCAGTTATGGATTTAATCACGATTTAATAACATTTTTGCAATGTTCTTGCAACATTTTAGCAATATTTTAAGATTATCAATAAGTAATTAACCCTAAAATCAATAACAGTTCACAAATGGTTCAACAATGGTTCAGAAATGCTTTAGAAATAATTCATCAGCAGATTTCATTAATTTTTATTCTTATCTTTTTCTTTTTAGAATTTATGTCTTATCTTTTTGTTTTATTTCATTATTTGTATCATTATTTAACTTATCACATATATCTTATCTCTTATTTTTATTTGTTCGTTTATTGATTCTTTACCCCAAAGATTGAAATTATAATCTAGAGTAGTAAACAAGTTTAGATAGAAACTTGTAAAACCTCAAAGATGTATAAATATC